AAAAAAAAAAAAAAAAAAAAATCATAGATAAAGAGAACAATAAATAGGTATTAATAAATAAACTGTCTTAAAAAAGAAAGGCAATTTGCACCCAAAACTGTCACACACTACTATAAAAAACTGTTTCTTCTACTGTGCTTGCACTCGTCCAAGCTATGCGTGTGTAATAAATGAAATTTTCAAACTTCAAATCCACAGCAGCATTTGAAAGCGCTCTAAAAGTATTTAAAAACCCCTCATCTAAAGAAGCATTGAGTATCCATAGGAAAAAATTCCAATATCGCCTTTACCTGTATCTAAAAAAACACTAAACTACACACACCTTTATTGGATCGTACATCACAGTCCTTCGATTATATCTCAACTGAAATTTCTGAAGTAGCAGAAGCTGATTTGAAGCATTGGGTTAGAGCGTGCAAAAATTGAAATAAGAACGATATAAAAAGAAAAAATAACTGATTGATTAGCAGCCGGAAAGCACATGTAACACGACGACTATGACAAGGAACAAATAAAGTTAGTCGAATAATTGGAAAAAAAACTGAAGAAATCCTTTGTATTCCCTTCAAAAAGCTAACTGGGTCCTCCTCTCCCGAGAAAAAAAAAGAGAATTAACCAGAAGCTTGAACCCGAATACCGATTCGGAATAGCAGAAAGACGACTAAGTCGGTGGTTTTGCAAACCACAAAATGTAAAGTTTTCCCTTTAGTTTTTTTCCTATAACAAAACGACAGTCGAAAACGAATCGTGCTTGTTGCAGCCACAATCAGAAGTTTTAGAACAGGAATTGTACTGAAGAAAACCCAATCCAGAAACCTTTTGAGTGCCCTTTAAACCCTACCACCACTAAAAACCAGCGTTAGCAGTAAGCAAATAAAAAGGTGAACGTGGATAACGAGTGCGCAGTTTTATGGTTTGTCGCACCTGAGATGTCAACTGCTGTGTGGCACGGCCTAAAAGCGATGTTCCCGATGACGTCTTCATTGCAGCTGGGTAACGTTGGTCTGTTGGCTGTGCAGGATCCGCAGTTCCGTAAAGTAGTAACTGCCAGTTATGAATTGTTCCTGAAAACAAGTAAAATGCATAGGTTTTGGTATATAAAAATACTGGTAAGAGCTAGTTAAAAACGAAAAACAGCACCTCCGATGTTCCTGTTTGAGCTGACTGATTCAACCATAAGGATCCAGGTGCCTCGTGGATCCTCACCCCACATTTGTACAGTAAGGAAGGGCCATTTGTGAAACCCATTTTGATTAAAATCCTAAAGAAAAAAAAACATGTAAAGATATAATTCAGATATTTCAAAAATAAAGTAAGTTAAAAATTCAAAAAAATTAAGAAAAAAAAAACAAAAAAATTTGCTACAGAATTTAAAGCTTACTTGAGGACGAGGAGGCAACAGAACAGAAGTGGTTCCGCGCGGTGAGAACAAAGTTAACTTCAAATCCCCTCGTTTACCGAACCGAATAGTAGCGAGTACTTGGACGTGCTCTAGGTATATAACTGGTGTACCACTTTCACACCCACTTACTTCTAAGGTAAAATTGACACGAAAGTTTCCAGTCACAGGTCTAGGACTAAAAGAAAAACCACTTTGAGATGCTAGATGATTGAAAAAATTAGACAATGCCAAATTAACATCTAAAATAGACACTTCGGGCTTTGTAGCGTGTACTCGTAAGTACACATATGCTGTTCTGGAACAGTCCTCCACATCCTAGCAAGTTTGACTAAGGCTGCAGCATCCATTAATCCATAACCAAACTGATTACTAATGTATCTTCCAACACCATTCTTCGACCAACCAGGATTTTTCAACAACGGCGTTGGATTTGCTGTTCTTAGCACCAAATGCTGCATATCACGCCACGTCAGGTTAGGACTAAAATAATTTATATCAAAACTTCAATGACAGCAAAAAAGCTACTTGCTTTTCATAAACGAATTGAATAAATATCAATAAAAAACTAATTTACTTTGCTTCAAGCGCCAAAGCGATTATACCGGCAGCCATAGGAGCACTCGCACTTGTACCAGTATGTGTGCGAGTACATCCATTAGGAACATCAACTGTCACCTAAAAGAAACCACTCATCGAAATGAAACAAAACAAAGTAAAATGCAAAAAATATGGGAATTCTTATACTGAATTAGCTCATGGAAACAAATGAGGAAAGAAATTTACAACTGCAGGCTGATTAACATTGGCACTGCTATAGGTAGTGGCAATACTTGATGGACATTCTTCAAGGTACCAAGGACGACGGTTATCAAAAGTCGCAGAACTTATGCTAAGCGTATAAACAGATGTTGTGTATCCATCTGCAGAACAGCTGTCTTGTCTAAAGTAAGTAAACATCAGAATGAAACAATTTGACAGAAAGTACACCGCTAAAACCTGAAAATAATTTACCTTGCACCTCCATTACCACTGGCCCACACGAAGATGTTGCCTTTTCCGCCTCGTCCTTCTTTAATTCCTCTGTAGAACGCTTCACGTGCCAGAGGACCAGGTCCGTCAAACGTTTTTCCATCGTCTTCAGGACCCCAGCTTGCAGAGTAAATGTCGATATGGTCTTGATTGAGAGACAAGCTGGCTGCTTCAATACTTAAAAAGGGTATTTAGATAAACAGTTAGTGAGCGACAGCAGCTGTTTAAGAAGTGAGGGATTTTTTTTTTGGTTCTATTACCTGTCACTAACCGGCCCGTCAAGCATCCGAACGCCCCCAACTTTTGCAAGGTAAGCAATGCCTACTCCACAATATTCGTTACCGGCTACGGCAGCAACTTCACCAGCACATCGCGTCCCGTGTCTAAAATGTGGTAAAAAATCCGGTAGTTTAAATACAGGATGCATACAAAGTGAGGACCCAGTGTCCTCATTCCGGAAAAATATTTTCACTTACTTATTATCACCATTATTCTGCGGCGTAGGGTCATCATCATGATCGTTGATGTCAGTGCTAGCACGTGGATCATAGTTTCGAGCTAAGTCAGGATGATCCCTTTGTATCCCGTCATCAAGTATAGAAACAGATACATTACGGCCCGCGTAACCTAACATCCAAGCATTTATGACATTCATGTCATACCCTCCTTCAGCATGACCATTCTGAAAAACTTTGCCATAAAACAAAAAAAAAATTTTTGTTTACCGTATCGTCAAAGACATCAAGGTGCCTCCCTTGCAAACAGAAATTTTTCTCACTTTAAAATGACTGCTTAACAGCTACGGTATTTTTATTTTAATAAGATTGCTACAAATGTCAAAAGATTACCAGGTACCACTGCTCACTATATAAGGGATCTTTCCACGGTAATTGAGGAATAAACTTTGTTGGGAAAGAAGCGCCAGAAACACTATTCATTCCATCCCCCTGATTTCGTCGAAAGTCAGCGTGTAAAAAATCGCGCTTCACACGCCGTCTGAAATATAGAACATAGCAAGAATAATTATTCAGAAGCGATTTTTAGATTGATCTGAAGTAAACACAAAAACTTTGTAGCCGAAACAGTGTGACAAGTAAGAAAGTTGTTCATGAATATTCAAAAATATTCAGTCGAACCTTGGTCGTTGTTCATCAACCCATTCAACAGCTGGATGATCTTGGAGCCTTTCAACTATAGCTCTCTTGTGCCTTCCTGTTCTTTTCGCTGAGTGTTCCAAAAAATAATGAGAGCCAAGGAACGGTTTCCCCTTAAAAGACGATTTTTTTGACAAAATAAACAGATTAAAAACAGAAACAAAAGAAAAAAATTAGCTACTAAGCAAACCTTGACCACCATGCCATTTTGTTCTGCAATCTGCCTTGCAAGAATATCATCTCTTTTAGCCAGACGAATTACTGTATGAATTGGTTCTGGACAATTCGCACTATCCCCTTCCAAACATACAGAATCGTGCTCGTTTGCACAACACAATTGCAAGAAGGTTAATATACATAAAATCCTTAGAATACTGGTTAAATGGCTAAAAAATGACGACTTTTATGACTGGTATTTCAGAACATCAAGAACAGCCAAATCTTTCTAGTACACAATTTTTATTTCTTTCTTCATTTTAAAACAAAATTATAAAAACTCCTGTATTTTCAAAACATTAAAAAACCCACAAAATAATATAAAAACAAACCATTTAAAAAGAATCTCCATTTTATATTTAAGCTGCAGTTAATACTGATGTAGAACTATATAGTCTCATCAAATCAAATAACAAAAAGCTGTTTACAGATACAGATTAAAAAATCATAAAAGCATTTTCGAATATATATTAGTCCGTTAAAATAAAATCCTTTCAGCGATACAGCCTTCGGTTCCTAAAGTTTGAGGACTTGTCTAATTCTTGGATCCACGCCGTCAAGTGTCCAGCCACTTGTCAATGAATTCCAATGCTACAGTGAGTAGATTAAGTTATTTAAATGCAGCTTAATCCTGAAAATTGGTTCATACAATGTAAAATAAGTAATAGTGAATGAAGAGACAGTAAGTAACCTGTATACGTTTGTAACTAACATTGGGGCAACAGATGCGTATCTTGGAAAAATGAGTTCAATAAACCGTCACGTAGAATGAAAAAAAAGGCAAGAAAAAACCTATTAAGACTGCCATCTTATACCGAACACCAAATAAAAATGACGAGAACCAAAAAGAAAGTTGAATACAAACGAGCATCGACAAAATGATTCCTTTTCAAAACATTTTATACAGCCTTTAACCATTGTTTTCGTTACTGTTATTTGAGCTGAAGCACATGCCCATCATCTAACATAATACGCAGTGTAAAAATTCACCACATTTTAGAAACGATGAATGTCATCAAAAACTGCCCTACTGATAAATGAAATCAATGATGTAACGAATCAGTTACTTATCAATGTTTCCTCTTTGTCATCAATCAGATGTACCATCAGTGCATTCAGTGTTACGAAATCTTTCAGATACAAATACTGTTTTAGTCAGTCGCTTGCATGTGAAAGAAAAAAAACAACCGTGATCACCGATACAGGAGAATAAATTGAAAAAATAAAATAAAGCGATGAAAAAACTCATCAGAAGCACATACTACAGCAGTCAGAATTCAAGTTGAAGAAAAAGAAAACTGCTGTTTCCGCATTTTATGCGTTTTGCGTGAGTTTTCCACAACTAAGTGTAACTTTCATATTCGTAATGTGAAAAATAGTAACATTGACAACACAAAACAATCAAATAAACATCTGAACGACAAAAAAAATTAAGAATTTCCTTTTGTTCTGGAACACGGTTTCGCAAAAAAAGAACAGATGAGACCGTTTAAGGTAGGGAATGGGCGTTCAGAGAGAACGTGAAAGCGAGGAGAGGTGAAAGAGTATAAAAACAAGGGGAACCGTTAAACCCGAAATTACGATACAATTTTAAAGACTGTTTACTGTCGAAAAACGAAAAATAGAAAAGAAAAAGAAATAAATGAAAAAAAAAACAAAACAAGAAAAATTTTCTCCAGCTGTCATTCAAACTGAGATTAGGAATTGCCAAAAATGCCCCTAATTCTTTCCCTTCCTCTCAGCCAATCCTTCCGCGATTGGAATACTTGCAAAAACAAACACGGCTAAATAAAACTGTACTATCCTAATACACAAACTAATTGAATTAATTTCAGTAAGAAGTTACCGAATAATTAGAGCTACAAACTAATGTATAACGCACCTAATGCTGTTTACAGTAAAAAATTAAAAATTATCCATTAAACTTAAAGACAAATTTTATCACCTGGAAAGATCTTCCGGCAACGAAAAAGTCACCAAGAAGCAAAGAATGCAACACTACTCAAAACTTTTAAACACTGCCACCTTATTTACTATGTTAACAAAGACGATAAGCTTCCTAAATTTTTTGCACTTCATACAATAACGAACAAAGATAAACATACCCTCCCGGTCTCCAGTGATGTAAATCGG